TTCCAGGCGCGGCCCTGGCGCCGGCCTCGCCGCAGCCCCGCGGCCCAGACACCGTTAACAGCCTGGCGCGCCCCGCCCTGTCGCATCCCGGGTACCACCGCCACCCTCCCCACCCCCCACCACAGCCCAGGCGGGGAAACTGAGGCTGGGAAAGAGGCCCTGTGGCGAAAAGGCGCAGCAGAGAGGACACTGGGCTAGACCCAATCCTCGGCTATAAGGCCCCTGTGCACCCCCAAGGTGGCAACCATGCAGGCCCTCCTCCTTAGCCCCTGCACCTCAGGGATGTCAGACTTCGTGGGACGCTCCAGGATCGAGGATGACCCACCGCCATCCGGGCCCCAGCCCAGCAGCAAAGCAAAACCAGGTTCAGTGTTGCTCCTGAGAGCTGCCCTGCCCTACAAAGGCCAAAATTTCTGGCCGTCAAGAGAAGAGCCTAGTTGGTTTGTAGAGAGGACTGTGACCTTTAGGGGCAGTCCCTCACACTCCAGAATCTGGTGATAAGTTGGAGTGAGCTACAATGGGCTACTGAGGGGCAGTCCAGGCACCTCGGGGCTCCTCACAGTTACAAAAATGTGCTTGCAAATTACAATGGTTTCTGGGCTCTGGATCCTGGCACTCCTGCAGAGGGGCCTTTTGCGGAGGTGGGTCACATCAAAGCCAGTGCTCACCTTCTTTTGAGCTGTTTCCTGGCAGGACAGAAGCTCTGTAGCACCTTCCCATCCATACACCACAAATCCACTGGGAGAGCTTGCTCAGCCAGGTATCATAAGGTCTGGATTGTAGAACAAAACCAATTTGCAGACTTTGGAGCAGGTAAGAGATTCACCAAGGGTGGTTTAATCCCCCAGCCTGAGACCAGGATGCAGACAGACATTTTTTTGACTTTCCAACTGAATTCATGTGTAGGTACAGAGCGGGACAAACAGTGTTGTCCTTGACCTTGGAGGCCAGGGGCATGACAAGGCTGGGTGGTAACAGAGTGGTCAGGGAGCACCCGGGGCAGCTGACCAGCAGGGACGTCAGAGCCAGGATCACTCTACAAGCTGTCTGTCACTTCCTCAGCCTGCCTCTCCAGAAAGGCCCCTTTATGTGGTTTCTGGGGGGCAAACTCAAGTGGTCAAGTGTGCAACAAACACATTGATGTTCTGAATACTGTAGGGGGCCCGTGGCGGACTGTGGCCACTGACCTCTGTCCCCATGCCTCATTTCCACGCCATGCCTGCGTTCTGCTCTCTTAGACCGTAAGCTCTCATGGAGGTACAGATGGCTGGCACACTTCCATACGGAAGGGCTGAGAACACCCCTTGAGACTCACAGACTAACCCTGGGTCTTCGTCAGTTCTAGCCTGAGCTGGGCCTGACCACCTGCCTGTAGAGTGTCGAACCTCTCCATGTGCTGCAGGGTCACCCCAAAAGCTTCTCTGTGGGTGCTGTGGCCTTGCCCTAGACCTCTCTGAGCTAACCTGGATGTGTCCCATCTCCTTGCCAGGCCTTTGCTGGAACAACCTGAGTTCAATTCCCAGAACCATAGTAGAAGGATGGAACCAACTCCTGGAGTTCTCTCCTGACCTCCATACACACGCCCACTCACGCTTACACAAACACATGAACACCAATAATAATAAATGATAATCTGGGATAGGGAGCTGCCTCCATAGGTAAGACTGTTTGCTGCACAAGCCTGCACTTCAGTTCAGTCCCTAGAGCCCCCACAAAAACCCACAAGCACTAGTGTGTGTCTAGAACCCAGCTGGAAGGCAGAGACAGGGGGGCTGAGTCAGCGGGGACCTCACAGGCTGGCCACAACTAGAGAGACCCTGCCTCAGCTAGATGGAAGGAGAGAACTGACTTCTGAAAGTTCTCCTCTGACCTCCGCATGCGCACCAAAGCACGCGCGTGTCCACATTCACATGCATATTGAACACTTTGTTTTGTTTTGTCGTCTTACTACATAGCCCTGGCTGTCCTGGAACTCACTATGCAGACAGGCTAGTCCCCAACTCCCAAGAATCCTCCTGCCTCACACTTCCAAGTGCTGAAATGACGTCATGCACTTCCACGTCATCCTATCCGCCCCTTTTTCTTTCGGAGTACAAAAGACAAATTTATCAGGTAGACTGCAAGTGAGCAGGACTGGGGAGGGGGCCCAGCAGCAGCCGAACTCCCAGCCTGCAAGTTTCTCTCTGAACTCTGCACCCTCTCACTGCCGGATTCAGCCATTGCTCTGGTCAATATCAACTCCAATGAGCCAAAGTGTCTGCACACCAACATCTGCAGGAGAACATTCACAATTTCATGCATGGCTGGGGCCACTGAGATGTCCCTCAGTGGCTCTTTGGACAGCCCATGACAGAGGGCTGTCACACTGGGAAGGAGGTGCTGTGTTGTGGGGCACACCCTCAATCCCTGCACTAAAGTGGAGACAGGAAGATCAAGAGGCCAAGGGTCATCCTGGGCTAGAGAGTGTGGCTGGAAGGCCAGCCCAGGCTACACAGACCATGTCTCAAAACACAAACATACAAAGTTAACTGTGGTCTGGTTCGATGGCTCAGTAGTTTAGCAGCCGACGGGCCTGAATTTGATCCCTGGAACCCATATATTGGTGAAAGGAGACAGTACCCAGTTCTACAGAGTTGTCTTCTGGCCTCCATACTCTTGATGGGGCACACATACCCACAATAATAATAATATTTTAAAATTCAAAAGCCAGTCATGGTGGTGAATGCTTGTAATCGTAGCATGCAGGAAGTAGAGGCAGGGGGATTACCACAAGTTTGAGGTCATCCGGGGTTACATAGCAAGACCTGTCTCAAAAAAGATGGCACAGGGCTGGAAAGGTGGCTCAGCAGTCCAGAGCCCTCATTGCTCTCGAAGAGGACCTGAATTCAGTTCCCAGCAACCACGCCTGGCAACTCACAAGGGCACGAAATTCCAGCCTCAGGAGATCCAACACCCCTGGCCTCCAGGGTATCTTGCACACATGTGCAAAGCAAACACACCTGTACATAAATAAGTAAATCTTTTGAAGAGGAGGAGGAGGATGGTAATGACATCGAGGAAGAGCCTTAAGTGCATTAGGAGGAGAAGGAAGCCAATTTGAAAAAACCCCATCCAATTTCTACGGCAAAATAATGGGAAACTATGCAGAGCAACGGGACAGTGGTTCCCTGGAAAGAGAGGAGGGAGGGGAGGAGCCTGAGCACAGAGGACTTTCAGGGCAGAGATACCAGAATGGCAGGCACTCATCACGCATCTGTCCAACCCAAAGAACACCCCCACATGACGAGTGACCCCCCTCCTGACTGTAGACACCTGGTGGTGGTGTGTGCCTGTGAAGGATGTCCCACCCGGGCAGGGTGTGCCAAGGCGGGGCCGAGGGGCTGGAGAGGTGTGGGAAATGGTTCCCTTCTGCTCAGCTTTGCTGTTAAGTCTAAAACTGCTCTAGAAAAAAAGAATCTGCTTGGGAGGCTTGGTGGTGCAGGCCAGTAATCCCAGCATGTGGGAGATAGAAGCAGGAGGAGCAGGAGTTTAAGGCCAGCCTGGGCTACATGAGAGACTCTGTCTCCAAAGGGAAAAGAAAAAAGAAATCCATCTAAAAGGGGTAAAAAGAGGAGCGAGCGCTGTCTGGCATTGAGTGGTAGAGCACTTACCCAGCATGCACGAGGCCATGGAGTTCATCTCCAGCTTATCAAGGGGGAAATTAAAAAAAATATATATACTGTCTTAGTTAGGGTTTTCATTGCTGAAGAGACACCATGATCACAGCAACTCTCACAAAGGACAACATTTAACTTTGTGGCTCCCTTACAGTTCCACAGGTTCGACCCATTATCATCATGAGAGGGAGCGTGGGAGCGAGCGTGGCAGCGAGCGTGGCAGCGTGCAGGTGGCGTGCGTGGCAGTGTGCAGGCAGACGTAGTGGAGAAGCTGAGAGGGCCACAGCTTGCAGGCAACAGGAAGTCAACTGACAGTCACACTGAGGGAAAACTCAGCAAAAGAGACCTCAAAGCCCGCCCCCACAGTGACCCACTTCCTCCAACAAGGCCACACCTCTTAACAGTGCTAGTCCCTTTGGGGGCCATTTTCTTTCAAACCACCACAAATACGAAAAGTCACAATCTCTCCCCTGGCTCCCAGGAGCAGGGACACTAAGTTAGAAGGATTGCTACATTTCTGGAGTCTCAATCTTCCCACCACTGCCAACTCCAAGCTGATGTCATGAAGGTGAACTTGAGCCAAAGCCTATGGAAGCCTCCACCGTGTCAAATTCCCACCATCTAATGCCCTGCACGGGCTGTCTGTGCGCTTCTAGGCTGTGTGGGTTAGACTACGTGCAGCCCTGGTATCCACTGCCCCCTTCAGCCCTTGGAAGGAGGAGGATGAGGACATGTTGGAGGCTGTCCCCAGTCAAACCCTATGAGAGGTGGAGCTTATTTGCACAATTCGCCTTCTAAGGGCCTGGCCCCTAAGCTGAGCTGATTTCATTAGCACGTGTCCAGCTCCTCTTTCTGTAAGAAACCCCAGACTCCCTTCGCCAACAATCAGTGTTGGAATCTTTCCAGACAAGAGGGGACTGGCACCAGGCGGAGAAGGGGCTGCTGGATGCCACTTGGGTTCTGAGGCTCTGGATGAGCAGGAACCTCTGCCCAGCAGGCCCTGGCAGGGCGCTGTGAGAACGGAGTGCCCAGCTGCCACAGCCGGAAAGAGAAAGAGAGTTGGGGAGGACCCGAGCCGACTAGCTTAGACAAAACCAGAGCGTGTAACTGGGAAGTGTGGACGGGGTGGTGTCAGGCACACAGCTGGGCCCAGACTTCCATCATAAGCTTTTCTGGCTCTGGCTCTGCCCTTTCCTACAGAGACGGGTCATGCACACCTATGTGCAACCTTGAACATCTGGTTCGCCTGCCTCCACCTCCTGAGCGCCGGTTTTACAGATGTGTGCTACCACATTTGGTTTATGCAGAGCTAGGGTGGAGCCCAGGGCCTCCTGCCTGCTCCACACACACCCTGCCAACTGACAGCCTCAGCCCCGGAGACAGATTCCTATTAGCTGTAGATGACACCCCCGATACTGCCTGAGCTACAACAAACCACGGCCCTTGTCCCCACCCTGGCAGAGCGAGGACAGTGTGCCTCCACCTCTAGAACATCCTCTGTACCCCAAATCTGTGCAGAATCATGCCAGATGGACCCGCTTTTGGAATGATTTCTCCTGGGCACCCAGCCCTGTGCCTGCCACATGCCAGTTGGTGGGTCCCTCTGGTAGCTACAGGGGATCTGGATCTTTGGAGCCTGTCCTGGCAGCAGGGGTCCCTAAGACAGAGACTATCGATTACTGTCCCAAAGCACGGTGCAGCTGAGACTCCGTGCTGACCGAGACCCAGACGTCTCACAGTGGTTCTCCTGTCATAGGAGCTCTTGGAGGAGGTAGGGCTAGTGGCCTGAGGTCTGCACCTGGAGCAGGGAACCCTGAGATGGAGCCCCTCCCTCCCCCAGGCTGTCTCTGACCCAGCTCTCCCCCAGACTTTTGTCTGTCCGCTGTGCCAGAGGCTGAGGGCGGCTCTGGTGACCCTGTAGATGTCCCCTGGAAACAAAGCTCTCCTGTGAGGGCGGAGTCACGGCTGCACTTCCCACCCCACCCACTCCACCTTGGCCCCCAACCTGCCTGCAAAAGGCCAGCTGGACAGACCCTACTCTGGCTGCCCCGCCCCAGGGTGGGCTGGAGGCGGAGGGACAGTTTTTGCCTTAATATGGAGTTAGTTTGGGTTGGGACACTCCCTCATCCCTATGCTGGGAAGATGAGGGTCCCTTGGGACTAGCAGCTGCCAAGGGTGTGTCCATGTGCTCAAACCGTCTTTCTTTCTGATGCAGGAGCTGCCAATAATAGTAACGGAAGAAATAATAATAATAATAATGGCAGGTACAGAAGCAAGCTATGGGGTAAGAGCTTCCTTTACCACAGCCCCCACCCTGGGGCGGGTGTTGCCACACCTCACCTACCCACTGAGGCTCAGAGGCAAGTCTCTTGCCGCAAGGAGCCAAGCAGCACCAGCCTGGTTCCCTGGCCTCCCTGGACCTCCTCTTCTCGGGGCTTAGACACAGACAGCAATGACTGAATCAACAACCCCTCTGGGAGTTACTGCTCTCTGACCCCACCCCCCTAAGCCACATCACATCCATCTTCAGAAACTGAGACAGTGGAGGAAGGATCACTTCAGGTAGCCGGAGAGCTACCACTGAGCTCTCCAGAGCCCAGCAGTCTGGTGGGGGGGACTCTGAGCTGATCCCAGTGTGCGGAAGGGGCACCCTCCCCACACCCGTCCTCTTGGGAATGGGGCTGCTCTGGCACGCCTCCCTGCCTGGCAGAGTTCCCATCCATCCTGCCTCAGACCTCACGTAGACTGACATCTGGCTCTGATTTGGAGGCTGCGGGAAGGAGGCAGCCGGGGAAGCCAAGAGCTGGGCAGAGGAGGTTCACCTGGCCGCTTCCCTGCCCTCTTTGAGGCCCCCTACTCTGTGTATTTATTTCCCTCTGTCATCTGCCCCCTCTGTCATCTGGAGCTGCTCTGTCTCTGGAAAGGGGAGCCTGCGCTGGCCACCACTTGGACCCTTGAGTCCTGGGCAAAGAAGGAAGCGGGAGAGATGGTCAGAGCTGGAATGATTGCAAATAGCACATCACCCAAGTGTGCGGGCCCCCAAGGCCTGTCCTAGTGGGACATGTGCACGAGCATGTGTGCATGCATGTTCTAGATGTAATGTGAGGGCTGATGCAGCTCCGAGGACACACATCTTATCCACAGATCTGGAAACAGCAATTAATCTCTAATTTGAATTTTTAACCTCAAACACCACATTATAAAAATAGTTGTGTTGTATTTTAGGGATGCCATTTGTCATGAAATTAGCTATGGTTACATGGATGCCACGGAGAATAAAGCACCATGCCTCTGTCTGCATGGGAGCATCGAGCAGGGCCAGCCCCAGCCAAGCAAGGGGTTCCCGTACAATGGTGCTGTCCCTTCTGAGGGGACCCCCGGGTCACAGGGCAAGCTAGTCAGGGATCCAGGGAATGTGCCCTGTGGGGTGGGGGCCCTGGACTGGGAAGTTAGGTACCAGCAAAGCCACCAAGCAGATCTTGGTGCCTGGGAGCCGCTCACCCACCCACACATCATGTCTGCCCCTTCTCAGAGCATCAGAAAGAGGGAACTGGAGTACAAGCCGGTGTGTTTCTGACACCTGCTGGTGTGAGGCAGGCAACAGAAGGTCTCCTGGCGCCTCTGAGTGTCCCTAATGTGGGGGAGCGGTGTCGCCCTCTCTGCAGATGAGGAACGTGGATGTCAGCGCAGGGGCCAGGGCACGGTTTGTGAGTAGCTCCTCCCAGGAGACTCAGGGCAACTGAGCCACAGCCGCTGTTTCCACATCAGACCTTCGTTAATTGTGAGATCCCATGGGGGTTTGGTTCCCACACTCCAGACACCCGCAAATGTGGGGAAGTGTCCCCAATGCACATACATCAAAAATGGAAAATCTTTTCTCTATTCTCTCTCGCAGCACCAAGGGTGGAACTCGGCCTTGGCCTCCACCATGCTGGGAAGGGCTCTCGGCCTCCACCATGCTGGGAAGGGCTCTCTCTACCACTGAGCTACACTCCCAACCTTTTTTCTTCGTTTTTATTTTGATACGAGGTCTCATAAAGTGGCCTACACAAACCTTGAACTCGAAATCCTCCTGCCTCAGCCTCTAGAGTAGCTTCCACTACAGGCCAGCACCACCAGCCATGGCTCTAACAATGGCCGCTCTTTTGTTTTTGTTTTTGTTCCTTTTTTTTTTTTTTTTTTTTTCCCTCGACACAGGGTTTCTCTGTATAGTTTTGCACCTTTCCTGGAACTCGCTTTGTAGACCAGGCTGGGCTTGAACTCACAGAGATCCGCCTGCCTCTGCCTTTCGAGTGCTGGGATTAAAGGCGTGCGCCACCACCGCCCGGCACAATGGCCACTCTTGAAGGAAACATTCTTGGAACATCCCCTGCCTCTCAGTCCTGCTTCTGAGACAGTCAGGTGCCCTCCCCAACCCGAAGCCTCTACATCTCTCTTCCCTCCCCCAGCACCCTCCCGACCCCTCTCTTCTTACCTCACTCCAGCTCTAGGTCCCTTCTGAGATCTACCTCCTCCAGAGACCTCCCTCAAGTGTCCCTGCTGGCGGTAGCCAGGCAGCTTCGTCACCCCAGGACCCAGCCTGGGCTTGGCATGAGTGAGACACACAAGATAGGCAAGGAACAAGGGAACGGTTACAGGACACTGCCCTCACTTCCGGTGCCTCGACACAGCAACTAGACCCCTCTAGAGCCACCCCCAGCAACAGCTCTATTTAAACAATGAACCTGCTTTCAGCTGCCATCAGATCTGGGCCTTTTCTTTTTTCCATTTCCGATGAAACCAGAGTAGCAGTTTTTACTTCTTGTCTCCTGTAATTTCCCACTTAGAGTTCTGACACTCTCCTGCCTGGGTTGTGGTGCCCAGGAAACCAGCTCTGCGGGAGACGCTGGCCCCCCAATTAAAACAGAAGGTCTCAGGAAACTCACTACCCCCTTCCTCCAGCACTGCAGGACCCCAGCCCCAGCCAGGCCCAGCTGGGGGCCTCGTGAGTCTCCTGGAAGCAGATTCTTGCTGGGAAGGGGGCAGATAGAAATCCAACCCTGACAGGCTGGGGCAGCATCCAGAGAGGACATCGTAGCAACCTGGCCATCTGCAGCCATGCACAGAGTGGCATGGCCTCTGAAGTCCCTAGGGAACGATGCAGAAGTCACTGTGGCCCCCTGAGCTGTGAGGTGGGGACAAAGCTCCACCTCACCTCGGCTGCCAGGTGTAGAATGTGGAAGGCCACACTGCCCCCCTGCTGGGCTCCAAGCCCTCAAGGGCAAAATATGGCCAGGTCACCGGTGTATGCCAACAAGGTGCCTGTGTACAGAATGAATAAAAGACCAAATAAATGAACATCACCTAGCTTTCTTTTTTATTTTATTTATTTATAGT